GCACATGTTTTTACAACCCTGGGGGTAGATGTGTAGTAATCTCCATTTCACAGATTGGAAAACTGAGGCACAGAACTATTGTATCGTGCTAACACAAGCATTTGTCGTCTGCAGAGAGATGCTTCTCACTTATAAAGTAACACACCAGATCTCTGATTATATAGCGCAGCCTCCACGAGTCTGGATGACTATTCCCACCAGAGGTGAACTCGTTCCGGGCATGCTCGGCCAAGGCAGGGTCTACACCTGGAGCGCCAGGGGCTGGGTGGACCTGAGCTAACATCACCAAGACATTGCCACCCGCAAAGCCTTTAGACTAAGTAGTCTGAGGCCTCCTAGATTCCTACATCACCCCAGCCCTTCAACTTGAGATCTCTGTGATAAGGACGACTCTAGGGAAGCTGGAAAGAGATGCTTCTTGCCAGCACAGAGGAAGACGTAGGCATGAGGAAGCGGAAAGCAAGAGGGCTTCCAAAACAGAGAAACATCAGCTGAGGTGTCTCTGGAAGCGTCTACAGGTCTGATGCTCACCTGGCTCTCACAGTTTGTCTCTGGCAGAAGGTAAAGGAAAGAAGAAACCATTCCAGTCTCCTTCGAATGCTTTCGTTCCTGCACCACCACCTGCGGCAGGAATCTCCACTTGGTCACGCGTGTTCTTTCGGCTCCTGGTGGGCACTGCCTGCACCAGCCCAAGCTGGTCACTGCCCACGTGATCACGTGATCTGCCCCCCGCCCCATGGCTAGCGGGACTTTCCCGGGGGCCTGGGGCGGCCCGAAGCTGCTTGCCCAGCCTCCTGGTTCCATGGCCACTCTAGTCACCTACATTCTCTACTGCAACATTATTATTATTTATTTTTTTTTGTGGTACACGGGCCTCTCACCGTTGTGGCCTCTCCCGTTGCGGAGCACAGGCTCCGGACGCGCAGGCTCAGCGGCCATGGCTCACGGGCCCAGCCGCTCTGCGGCATGTGGGATCCTCCCAGACCGGGGCACGAACCCATGTCCCCTGCATCGGCAGGCGGACTCACAACCACTGCGCCACCAGGGAAGCCCCTGCAACATTCTTTTTATTGAAATTATGAAACATTTATTTCTCAAAGGAAATAAAGATTGGGCCTGTAAAAAGAAAATTTAGTCAAACTGTTAGTTCATTGGATTCTTACATTTTTAAAATTGTATTATACCTTTAGGTAATTTTTAAACAAAGTATATACCAAATGATATATTGTTAATAATTCTAAATCTTCTTTCATTGTATATATACACCGCAATTTCTTTATCCATTCATCCACCAGTGGGCAGTTGGCTTGTTTCCATGTCTTGGCTATTGTGAATAATGTCCCGCATGGTGAGTGCAATTAACAAGACGGTATTATACACTTGAAACTTGTTAAGAAGGTAAATCTTAAATGTCATCACCACATACACACCAAAGAAAAGATAATTACATGAGGGCATGGAGCTGTTAACTAAGTTTATTGTGCTCACATCAGTTCTCAATATTACACGTGTATCAAATCATCACATTGTACACCTTAGACTTACATATGTTATATGTCAATAATATCTCAATAAAGCTCAGGTACGAAAACAAAACAAATGAGCAGCTAGCTCGGTGCACTGCTTGCCGTGCTCCCACCCCTCCTGTGCTTCCCCTAATAACCCTCCCCAGGGGGCACTGTTGTTATCCCCACTTTACAGATGAAGAAACAAAGACTTAGAGAAATTAAGAAATAAAATCATCCATTGGTAGGATCCATCTGAATCCTGGGCTGGGTTCTTAAACCCTATTATATACTTAGCACTTCTTTTTTTTTTTAAATTTATTTATTTTAATTTATTTATTTTTGGCTGTGTTGAGTCTTCGTTGCTGCGTGCAGGCTTTCTCTAATTGTGGTGCGTGGGCTTCTCATTGTGGCAGCTTCTCTTGTTGTGGAGCACGGGCTCTAGGCGCACGGGCTTCAGTAGTTGTGGTACGTGGGCTCAGTAGTTGTGGCTCACAGGCTCTAGAGTGCAGGCTCAGTAGTTGTGGTGCACGGGCCCAGCCACTCCACGGCATGTGGGATCTTCCCAGACCAGGGCTCGAACCCGCATCCCCTGCATTGGCAGGCGGATTCTTAACCACTGCACCACCAGGGAAGCCCCAGAACTTCTTAAAGATGAGTCATGAGGTTGGTATAATCCTTACAAATTATGTGAAATACTTATTTAACATCTGCACTGGAAAAACAGAGACCCACTCAAACCACTTTATTAAAAGGGGAGGTCCAACCTGTGTGAAGTCAAGTGATAGATATTTATCTTTCCTCCTTTAGGCAAAGAGTAGAAGACTGCAGTGAATGTACTGACCATGCATTGGCGGTCATGAAGGTTTATGGTCCCAGAGGGCAGCCCTCCTCCTCCCAGCACAGGAGGCCCTCAGCTTGGGGCTGGCTCTGCACCCGTGCACCCTGAGGCAAGGCTGGCCCGCACTGGACCACCCCCGGGCACAGCACACAGTGAGAGGGTGGGTGGCAGACTGCCCCCAGTGGCCCCCCTGTCCTGGGAACTGGGCAGGATGAGGACTCAAGGTCGCTAGCATGAGGAGGACCAGCAGCCTTACAGAGAAACTGAGGGGCTTCCCTGGTGGCGCAGTGGTTGAGGGTCCGCCTGCCGATGCAGGGGACGCGGGTTCGTGCCCCGGTCCGGGAAGATCCCACATGCCGCGGAGCGGCTGGGCCCGTGAGCCATGGCCGCTGAGCCTGCGCGTCCGGAGCCTGTGCCCCGCGACGGGAGAGGCCACAGCAGTGAGAGGCCCGTGTACCGCAAAAAATAAAAATAGAGAAACTGAGGCCCTGACTCCAGATGAACCAGAAAAAGTTCAGAAAAAATGAAGAGAACTTAAAATACCGCCTCTAGTAACCTGGAGAGTTTCGAGCGTACATCCCTCAACGAGTGAAGGGCTGCACAAAAGACACAGAAGATAGGAACACTCTGAGATTTAAAAACATGACTGCCAAAGTCAGAAATTAAATAGGACTAAACATAAAGTCAAAAAACCCCTCAGAGCACAGTGTAAAAGAGTCCAAAGCAGACAAACACACACACACACACACACACACACACACACGCGCGCGCGCGGAAACACAACATTGTAAAGCAACTATATTTCAATGAAAATTTTTTTAAATAAATTTTTTTTAAAAAATAAGGGAAAAGAAAAAAATTAAGGCCCAATCAGTGAGGTCCAGCATCTACCTGTTAACTATTCTCCACAAAGATCAAAAGGGAGATAACTAGCAAAGATGTGAAAAAAGAAACTTTCCCAGAGTTGAGGGGCACATGGCTTTGGATTTAAAAGGCCCACTGAGTACCCAGCACAACAAACAAGAAAAGACTCATATCTAGACACTGCCTTGTAAACATTTTTCAGAAAGAAAATATCCAGCCTTCAAGAGGCCATAACTTGTCACCTGTGAAGGAACAGAATCAAATCCACTTCCAACCTAACCCCAGCAATGCTGAATGCCAGAAGGAATGACATCTCCCAGTCTCTGCAAGGACATTCTTTCAGCCTCAAGTGGACAGTCTGTCAAGTCATCGGTCAGTGGGAAGCTATGGAATTTGTATGTTACAGACGAGGAGGTCACACCAGCAGAGGTTAAGCAGCCTTCCGGAGGCGCCCACTGATGGGAAAGTGGTGGGTTTCACCTGCTCAGGCAAGCTGACTTTGGACTGAGCTACAGAATACCATCCTTGCCACACCCGTGAAAGAAACAAGAAATGAAAGATAACAGCATCCTTTTTTTTTTTTTTTTTTTTTTTTAATTTTTGGCTGTGTTGGATCTTCGTTGCGGTGCATGGGATTCTCATTGCAGTGGCTTCTCTTGTTGCGGAGCACGGGCTCTAGGCGTGCGGGCTTCAGTAGACGTGGCTCACAGGCTCAGTAGCTGTGGCTTGCAGGCTCCAGAACGCAGGCTTCAATAGATGTGGCACATGGGCTCAGTAGTTGTGGCTCCCGGGCTCTAGAGCGCAGGCTCAGCAGTTGTGGCGCACGGGCTTAGTTGCTCCGCGGCATGTGGGATCTTCCCGGACCAGGAGGCACTGTGTCGCCTGCAGGCAGGCAGATTCTTAACCACTGTGCCATCAGGGAAGCCCCAATAGCACCCTTTAAAAGGGTTCATCTGGGGGGAGAGTGTCCTCCTTTTCATCAGTGTTTCCAAAAGTAACATTCTAGCAGCACTACAGTTATCCAAAGTGTTACCATTGGGGAAATTGGGGGAAGGGTACATGGGATCTTGCTGGATTATTTCTTACAACTGCGTGTGACTCCACACTTAAAACAAAGAGCAGCGGCATCAACTACCATTTATTTACTCCACAAAATTTCTGTTGAGCATCTTCTCCGCTGGGGACACAGCAAGCAGCACAGACAAAACCCTGCCCTCATGGAGCTGGCTTTCTACTGGGGGTTGCCTTGTCTGAAGCTTCACTGGATCAGGCTGTTTATAATTCAAGTTATAAAATACATGCTGATTATGGAGATGTTGATTACAAAGTCTGGTCCCCCACAAGGTGGGTCTAATCAGGTTTCCCGGGTGATGCGACAAGGCTCGGCGTATTTGTGAAGCCCAAGCCTTATCCCACGTGGGAAGTAAGTGAGTCACCGCCACTCTGATGTTTAAAATACCTGTAAAAGGCAAAAACTGCTCTATTCAACCCGTGCTTGGAAGGTCTAACCCCGTTCTCTTTCGTGCTTCTTTGCTCCAGGCCACTGAGAGCGTCCAAGTAGAAAGCTGCGGACACAGTCGGTTGTCACGGAGATGAGGAGGCTGTGATTGATGAATCGCAAATCCCCGCCAGTTGCTCCCAAAGAGGGAGGCTCCTCCCAGCTTTTGCAGCGCCCTCCAGATCCAAGACAACCGGGAGGTAGATGCAGCTGGCAGACAGAAGGCTGCCGCCCCCGAGGCGCTGAGGCCCCTTCGTCTCCCTGCTGCCCCAGCTCCAGGGTTTCCTCCACGATGGCCTGTAACCGCTCGTCCATCGAGACCTACGAATACCTGCTGCCCAGCGGGAGCCACGCGGCGGACCCCGGGCCCCCCGCGCCGCCGGCGCCCCTCAGGGTGTCCCTGGCGGTCCTCATGATGCTGACGGTCGTGGTGGGGCTGCTCGGCAACGCCGTGGTCTGCATCATCGTGTACCAGAGGCCGGCCATGCGCTCCGCCATCAACCTGCTGCTGGCCACGCTGGCCTTCTCGGACATCATGCTGTCCTTGTTCTGCATGCCCTTCACCGCCGTCACCCTCGTCACCGTCCGCTGGCACTTCGGGGACTCCTTCTGCCGTCTGTCGGCCGCGCTCTACTGGTTTTTCGTCCTGGAGGGCGTGGCCATCCTGCTCATCATCAGCGTGGACCGCTTCCTCATCATCGTCCAGCGCCAGGACAGGCTGAACCCCCGCAGGGCCAAGGTGATCATCGCCGCGTCCTGGGCGCTGTCCTTCTGCGTCTCGGCCCCGTCGCTGGCCCCCTGGCCGCTGGTGGAGGTGCCGGCGCGGGCCCCGCAGTGCGTGCTGGGCTACACCGACCTGCCGGCCGGCCGCGCCTACGTGCTGGCGCTGCTGGGCGCCGCCTTCTTTGCGCCCTTCGCCGTGATGCTCGGCTCCTACCTGGGCATCCTGCACACGGTGCGCAAGAACGCCGTGCGCGTGCACAACCAGTCGGACAGCCTGGACCTGCGGCGGCTGCCCCGCGCCGGCCTGCGGCGGCTCCAGCGACAGCAGCAGGTCAGCCTGGACCTGAGCTTCAAAACCAAGGCCTTCACCACCATCCTGATACTCTTCGTGGGCTTCTCGCTGTGCTGGCTGCCGCACTCCGTCTACAGCCTGCTGTCCGTGTTCAGCCGGAGGTTCTACTGCGGCCCCTCATTCTACGCCACCAGCTCTTGCATCCTAGGGCTCAGCTACCTCAAGTCCGTCTTCAACCCCATCGTCTACTGCTGGCGAGTCAAGAAGTTCCGCGAGGCCTGCCTGGAGCTGCTGCCCCAGACCTTCCAGACCCTCCCCAAAGTGCCTGAGCGGATCCGAAGGCGAATCCAGCCGAGCACCGTCTACGCGTGCACCGAAAACCAGTCTGCCGTGTAGGGGGTGGCAGTGAGCCCCCTGCCCCCCGCGCGGCTTCCTGGGACTCCCGTGCAGTCAGCACTTGGGGGGGCCTCTTAAGCACAAAGGGACTCATTTGTTACCGGGTGAGCTGCGGCTCCCAGGTTGGCACGATGAATTATTTTTGTCCTCCCTGCGGGTCTGATGGAAACTGGACGGCCGTCACGACAAAAGGGGAAACGGGTGGGTGATGAGTGGGTGATGAAGGAGTCTGGCCCAACGTTAGGGAGGCGAGGGGAGCAGGGAGGGAGGTTGGCTGCGGGGCAGGAGGAAAGCTCTGTCTAAAGAGCTCTCTCAAGATCTGCCTCGCAGACAGCCGTGGTGCCATGTTCTGACGCGAGAAACCCAGGTAGGTTCACCTCTGGGTCATCAGTCAGTGTATTGGGCACCAGCATTCTTCAGAGGCGTTTGTGTCTGTGGCATACATTGTGGAAACATGCCAGGTTCTTTACAGTGGTCAGATGTGCATTTTGGACGATGCCAAATCGTCCGTTCTATAAACCAAAATCACGCGGCAAGCAGAGGAGCCCTGGGCTTTTCAGCTGCCCCCGTGTGACACATGGGAGGCCTTGGTGGCTTGAAGCCCAGGGAATGTTCGGGGGCAGCTCAGCTGAAATGACAAGCCCACCCCAGCGCACATCCTCAGCCCTCCTCCCTGGACCGGCCCACCTGGACCCTCACCCTGAAGCCTGTCACCTCCCTGCCTGCCGTGACAGCCCCCGCCCCTTCCCTCTCTCTCGCCTCTGGTCCCCGGGCCCCCCTTGTCCTCATTCCGTCTGTCCCCGTGAGCAGGAACCACACTCCTCCTCCTGTGATCCATCTTTTCAGCAAGTACTTGTAGTGACTTGCTTTCAGCCCCAGAAGCGGTCAGGGGCTCTGTCTACATGTTGCTCTCGACGCGCTGAGGCGGCCGCTTCACCCCATCCCAGGACCTGCGACGGGGATGCAACGACCCGCTCCCACTGACCTCACTCAGGGCCGCAGGGGTCTGACCGCTGCTGTCGGGGCCACCTCCCCGGGACCGTGGTCCCCCAGCCCAGGCAGGATTGGGATCCCAGGAGGGCAACTGCCTAGAGGGGACCTGCTGCTTGTCTCATACGCCCGGCCTCTACACCCAGGGCCCCCTTTACCACTGGGAGCTTCTGATGGGGGAGGTGACTTTCCTGCGGTCAGGGCACACGGTCGAGTCCACGGAGCTCTCTTCACAGCTTCAGAACTGAAGAGAGTGGGAAATTTAAGGATAAATTTAGAAAATATGGTTCTAAGTCTAACTCCATCAGGAACTAGTCACGTGACCTTGCTCGTTTCACCCCCACTTCTCTGGGCCTCAGTTTCCCCATCTGCTAAGCGAGCAAGCAGGCCTAGTGTGTCTCCCACATCCCTGCCGAGGTCCCTGCCATGTGCATGTTTTCCACTTGCAGTCACCAGATCCCCTGCCTTTGTTTATCCATCCATGCAGTGAGCATCTATTAAGTGCCTACGAGATGCAAAGCACTGTAGGGGACGGTGATGAGTCACGCCCGCCTGGGCCCAAAGGCACACGTCTGATTTATCTCAGGATAACTGTAACTCAAACACAGACGCTCCCCTTTGTGTTTTTCTTCTCATTTCCTTCCCAAGGTTGTATGAAGAGACCAGCTCCCCATTCCCATGCTTTCCTCCTGTGACAGAAGCAAAAATGAAAGATAACATAATTCACATTAACCTAAGTCCGGATGAGGGCTTTTCCAGAAAATAATTGGCACTTTTTTTTTTTTTTTTTTTT